AGTGTCATTCAGTTTACCGCCATTCAGCTGCAGGTACAAGTAACCATGCGAGAACTTCCATATGGATCATCTACTAAAAATGCAAACCAATGATTGAAAAGAAGCCCTGCCGTTGCAACATTGAAGTCACCAATGTATTCAGGCCATCACTTTGGAGATTTATTTCTAAGCGCAACCCGGTACTAAAACGCCATTGACAAAGGCATGAAGCATGGACGAATATAGCACAACTAAAAACCCTAGGGGGGGTTACCACACATTATTTATGGACAGAGAAGTACATTGATAAATATTCAAGAGGAGTTTGCAAAAGCAACTTCTGCACCCTCCTCTACACTCAGCAACATAAAAGATGTTGCGTGTAGCGGATTGGGCATGTGGAGAGTATGTTTATGGGGTAGAAAATTTATTAGCCTAGAGTTAAGCGACAAAGAGACTCATAGAAAATGGGTAACTTACCAACAAAAATTCTTTGAAATAGATGGCACCATTGGAGGTCCCCACACAACCCCTGAAACCAACTCCCTAGATCCAAAATGTCAACACAATTATCAACGTCTCGCCATCTGCGTATTCTAAAAAAATGAAAGTAGCTGTGAAGTTTCAGATGCAATTCCTTAAGACGGAAGTTTAGTCTTACTAAACACCAAATTCCAATCCAAATTCATTGTGAATGAAATAGATCTCAGAGGAGGTGATCAATGGGTGGAGCTGAGTTAGGTGTTCTCACCGGAGCCCTGGAGATAAGAGTCAAAATGACTAGGTGGGTTGCTTGTCTATGGAGGGTTGGCTTCAGGTCATCCCTCAAGAAGATTTTCCTCCAGAAGAAGGATTGGAACTGGGTGCAGATGAATCATAAAGTCGATAGGCTCACGCCGCTCGTAGAAGAAATCCACGAGGGAAGGTTCCATCGTGCCCCTGGCACCCCTAGCGATGACCCTGGCGCCCCCGGCGTCAGAGCTGAGGATGGGGCTGAAGTTGAAGCTTGTTGTGGAGATGCTGAGGATGGAGGAGGGAAAGGGACTAAGGTTTCGAAGTCTGGAAACTGTAATGGGCACGGCTAATGTTCCGAAGTCTGGAAACAGTAATGGTCACAACACTAATGTTCCGAAGTCTGGAAACGATAATGGGCACAACACTAATGGGAACAAGAACGGGACCAACATGTATAATCACTAGGATTGGGATAGTGATTTTCCGGATTGGTATTGAAGTCTACCCCTTTTTTGCTGTGTTCCACTAAAATTATGAAGAGATTGAAGTTTAGCCTTTTTTGTCACATTCTACTATGTTTTGATGCTCTGTCAAGTGTAATAGAATTGTCACTTTATCAGAAATTATACTTACAATGAAAATTTCATATTCATATAAAAAAAAGATGGCACCATTGGAACGAAATTTCAAATTCACTTAAGTGATAGGTTGGTATTAATTGAGAGTATTGATTCAGACTTCGAGGAGTGGTTAAATTGTAACAACCCGCCTTGTAGGGTTCGATGTAGTTACTCCATAATACCATCCAGACCTCTAGTATTGTCCTCACAAACCAACACAAGCCTTAAACGCGCACTTTGTCCACACTCGTGTGCGCCCTGAGAAACTTCTCATGGGATCACCCATCTCAACAATACTCCCATGCAAGCACGTCTGATAACCAACATATCAGTACACTATATTAGAGTTGCTCTGATACCACTTATAACATCTCGCCTTGTAGAGGCCAAGGTAGTTACTTTTGAATGTCATCCAGACCTTTAGTATTGTACTCACAAACGAACACAAGCCTTAAACGCGCATTTTGATTTCACTCGTTCGCGTCCTGAGAAAGTTCCCAGGGGCTCACCCATTCCAAGATGACTTCTATGCAAGCACACTTAACTTTAAGTTCTTAGCTTATGGACTTCCTTAAAAGGAGATGCACCTTGGTATTCACGCTCTGATACCAAATGTAAGAAGCCAACCATCCAACAATCACATATCAAAATATGAAATCAAGAAGAAGAGAAAGCTTGTCGAGAAATACCGAAATGATATTGGCTATTAATGATCATGTATTCACTCTACAGCTACGAATCTCTCTCTTCTCTCTAAATAATGTAATGAATGTGTAGTATATTCGTTGTTTGGATTCATAGGTTTACGTAAGGTAGTCCTCCTTATATAGGTTTTGGAGCTTATCTATGTATTACACAAGGTTAATGGGCCTCAATATACAAGCATCCCATATTAAATAACTGAAGCTATTGTATCACAAATACAAAGACACAAAATAACATTGAACACAACTAAAATGCTACAACAATCTTCCCATTTGTGTTCAATCATATTCATTCAGCATTGCATCACAAGTATCTTTGTTTTGTGTTGAATCGGCCATGTACAGGAGAGGATAGATGAGATTGGTTGAGTTTCTCCACTTTTGTCTTGATCTTTAGTGCAGTTCAGCTTTCTTTGTCTTCTTGGAGATGCTTTGTAAAGAAATCCGTACAATCTCCCCCTTTGATGTTTTCTGACACTTTGTTATTTGATGTTGGTGGTTGAGGGATCTTCATATTCTCGCACGTAGTCCATGCCTTTCATAAGTTGCTCCTGAGTAGCTCTAATGAAGTCCGATGGCGCCTTTAGTATGAATGTCTGATGGACTAAGAATCACCATCATTTTCAGTAATTTGAGTATCCAACCTTTGCCTCCACCATAATGCAGTCTTTTCGACTATTTGATGTGAATTCTTTTGAGGAGAACTTGTCAGTGGCACAACAGAAAATGATGGCGATTCTTATGAGTGTAGCTGACCATTCGATTTGAAGCTAATTTGGCAGTTTTGATGAATCAAATAGAGTAGAGAGCGGTCAATGTTTGTGTGTTGGAGGAGAGAAGTGTCCAAAAATGATTGTTGAAAGTTCAGAAGCACACGGACCACTCTCCCCCTCATGATGATCCGATGAATCGGAACGTCGTGCTTTTTTTCATCCTTTTATTCTGGGTAACAAAATAAAATAAAAATAGTAAATATCGGATACACTGTGGTGTTCCGTTAACACATCATCAATGAAAAACAGTGATGTGTGGCCTGCATAAAATGATAGAACTGTTACAACATTTATAGGACTTTCGACCAATCATCGTGAGGCATCTAAAGTAGATGTCACTATGGTCGTTCTGGCATGATCACAAGGATCAACAAAGAAAATTGTAGCCCTCGGGGTCGTGTAAACGCTCGTTATCATCACTATAGAGATGAATCTCCAAAGTGATGGCCTGAATACATTGGTGATTTCTATGGTGTAATGTCAGGACTTCCTTCCGATCATTGGTCTGCATCTTTAGTAGATAAGCCCTATGAAAGTTCTCGTGTAGTCACTTGGACATGCAAGTGAGTCTAAAAATATGTCATTCAAAACATTTGGGAGTGAGATAACAAAACACAACATGATCAATGACAGTTCAATGTAATGGGGTGCGGGCCACTACAGTTAGTATCAGTCGCCTCAGAAGGAGACAACGATGAGAGATGAGATTCCCCATGAAGTTTGATTAATCACTTGTTTGTTGGGAGACATATGAGTGGTCTAGGGTATGGTTGTGCATGCGTCGTTTGGACAAGATGCAACAACTTCTATCCAGAATCTGATTAAATTAGTCCTGAACCTATGGGGATTGTCCGCAGTCTTTGATTGAACGGGGTAGATTCCTGTGCAATTGAGGTAGCAAACTTGTCTTTGGTTATTGCTTTCTTGCTCACTTGAGGCGTCTGCTTCCTCTCACTTAAAATATTCACTCACTCTCAGCTTTGTCCCTTGAGTAAGCTTAGTTGGGTTTACTAAGCGATTAAGATTTGATCTATTATTGATCTCTTTGCTCCCCCTTCAACAGGCGCACCCGGTAGGATGCATTTGACGTTGTGCGGTGCTTGGGAGGAGAACTTTGAAAAGTTGTAGCACTTCTATCCTTTTATGCAGGACACACATAACACTTTTTCCATTGATGATGTGTCAACAGAACACCACGGTGTATCCGGTTTGTACAATTTTTTGTTATTTTCTTGTTTTGTTACCCACAATAAAAGGATGAATAAAAGCATGATGTCCTGATTCATCGGATCATCATGAGGGAGAGAGTGGTTCATGTGCTTCTAGACTTTCAATAGTCATTCTCGAACACTTCTCTCCTCCAACACAAAAACATTGACGGCTCTCTACTCTCTTTGATTAATCAAAATTACCAAATCAATTTCAAATCGAATGGTCAACTACACCCACAAGATTCACCATCATTTTCCATTGTGCAACCGATAAGTTCTACTCAAAAGCATTCACATCAAATAGTCGAAAAGATTACATTCTGGAGGAGACAGAGGTCAGATACTCAAAGTACTGAAGATAAATCTCGTGTGCGCTTGGAACTATTCATAACAATCATACTAGAGGCGTCATTTTGCTTTGTTTGTTTTTCACTGTAGCAAACCGCTGCATTTTGCAGCGTTTTGCTGTTTAAATTAATGAGTGGTTTGCTCCATCCGCTATTATCCAAACGAGGGCAATATCTTTTACTCTGATTTCTAAACTTAACTTCTAAATCTTATTGTTTTACTTCTACTTCCAGGAATAAACTCTAATTTCAAGTCAATAGATATTTTCAACTCCATCCCGCTTCTACCATTCACGAAACGTTGGCCTAAAACTACCCTAAATGGATGGATTTGGAAAATTGAGCTGGATTGACTAGCCACACATATAATTACTGTAATACAGAGTATTAGTTATTTTAAATTTATTGCAAGTCCTATACAAGTTGACCAGATTAATTAAGAATGAGCTAGAATCATTGAAAGATATAAGATTGTATGATGAAATTTAGTGCAAGTAACAAAAACTATAGTGAGGAATACTTATTTAAGGTATATAATCTTCTTTAATTGGAAAGTTTTTTTTAGCTCTTATATACTCTTAATATATACTTTGTATGTTGTAATTAGATAAATATCCATTACACAACAATCAAAAGTATATCCATGTTGATACATTTTTCTACTCTATATAAGATGCTTTTGTGTCCTTTCAACTCCTCAAGCTGAGCACTTTTTTACATGATGTGTTCTTATTCTTCTTCTTTTGATAATAATAATGATAATAATAATAACAATTTTCTGGTGACTCATCTCTTGAAGGTCCACTTTGCCATCCTTCTTTCTCACCATATCATCTTCTTCTCAGTCTTCCTTTTCTTCTCACATCTCCTCCTTAAAATCATATCTTTTCTAACACCTCTTCTTATTTCCACGACACTTTTACTCATTTTCCATTTTTTCCTCTCTCCATTTGTTGGTGATGATGAAGGTGATAGCCTTTTTCATGTTGAGGGCTTTGAATTATACATAATTTGTTTGTTCGAGGAAATCTTGGGAGAAAAAACAATGGAGGGAGGGTTCATAAAAGGAGGACAGGAGTTTGAAAGTAGCATGGCAGCATTTGGGTGTAACAGAGATGAGGAAGATGAGGAGAGGATGGATTTGTTGTGGGAGGCCCAGGAAATTGAAGCTTGCATGAATACTAAGAAGGAAAAGAAGGTGAAGAGGAAGAAGAATAAGAAAAAGAAAAAGAAATGTGGAATAAAATTAAAAGAAGAAGAAGAATGGATATATGAAGAGTATTGTTATACGCAAGCACTGAAGATGAATTTAGGGATAGGAAGACATATGTCTAACGCTATCAAAAGGTTTGGATGGGTGAAGAATGGGAGGAAGTACAATTAAAGGGTACATAATATTGTTGGGATAACATGATTATGACAGTAGAATGAAAGTGTATGGTGACTATATCGTAAACAATTTATATCTCTATGGCAAATGAAAGCTATTTTTTCTTCATGTGCATATTCCCGTTCTTAAATGTTGTAGTACCTAGTAATCAAGAAGTGTTAGTGATAAATATTTAATTGATTTTATATGTATTATGAAGGAATAAAGCAAAATGGCTCAATAAACTGTCTGGACTTCATTGTTATGGAGCAGCAGTCAGTTCATGCAATTTTGGACGTGATTTTCACTATGGATCATCCGGAAACAGTCTCTCTGTGCTTTAGTACAGGGGTAAGACTGCGTACATCCAACCCCCCCCCCTTACCCCACCGTAGGTGGGAGCCTTTGCGGCACTAGGGTAAATGAAAATGAAAATGAAAATGATATGTATTATGCAATATATTGGATAAATTTAATTTTTATTTTATTAAAAACCCCATAAAATAGACAAATTCAATCAGACCTTCTATTAGACAATACATTACAGAGTAACTCGGTAAAGTTGGGAATTCTTGCCACTTTTAGTCCCCGAATATCTTGTCAGTGACATTTCTAGTACTCAATTTTTATTTTTATTTCAATTTTAGTGTTTCAACTATGTGCGAGAGACGCTTTTGATCCGTGACCTCAAAATTTGAAACTCTTAGTCATTTCACTATGACTTTGATATAATAAGTGAAGAATAAAAAATGTCACTTGTATGAAAATTAAAAGATTAGAAATGAAAAATTTTAAAGACGAATATCAAATGCATCTTTCCCACAATAGTTAAATGATTATAAGAATAATTCACAATCAACTATAAAAATGTATTGTCATAATAAGCGGATGAATAAAAAAATCATGCTTCATGTACATGTTTTTTTGTACACGCCATTTTACACATCGACTGAGTTTCTGTGTACAATTTTTTTTTATTTTGTGAAGAGTATTATTTTTCACTTCGACAAAAAAAATTGTTCATGCTACAGACAAAAAATTGTTGGTGTGAAAAAAATTGTCTTCCCAAAATGAAAAAAAATCACAGACAATTCAACCGACGTGTAAAATGATGTGTACAAGCAGAATAAAAATGAAAAATCTTATAAAGTTGGGCTGCCCAACTTTAAAACAAGTCTTTTTTTGTGTACACAAATTATACACGGTCTGTGTACACATGCAATTAGGACACAAATACTTATATACATTGTCTTTTTCTTAATGAGTTGCATGTGTACACAGACTAACTAGGGGTGTGTACAAAAAGTATACACATTTTGCGTACATCTAAAAAATTTCTTTAAAACAAAAAAAAAAAATACGTTATGCAGACAGCGAGACAGTTAGTACATTTGGTAAGAATTAATGATATGATTGTACATTTGTACCAATCAAAAGATAAGTTTTTGGATCTGGTAGCCTTATTTTTACAACAACAAAGAGATGGCACCCGAGAGCCCCCCACATCGGCCGGATAGTTAACTACTTAACTAGAAGAACGTATATTGAACTTTAATCACAATGTGTCAGATAACGAGTGGGACTCTGATATTGTTCTTGCAGAGGTCCTATTCATTTTTACATATTAACCGGAGATTACCTCTTGTGACACTCTCTATCTACCAGTTGAACATTTGAACTACACCCACCGACTTACGTCTCCAATCAATGTTCTAAAAGACGCTAAGTGAAAGTTAACAAGGATTAGTTGCAGACACACAAATTGTAGTTTATCAATATTTCGCATAAATATGATAGATTCTACTACTGTTGTTTGTGTTATAAAAATACACACATTAACATGCATGAATAGAATTGTCACATACTAATAAAATATAAATGTATATACACACATATACGGGGTACAATTTTTATCAAAATTCACATGCATCATTCTTCATGTCCGTGTTTAAAATTCGTTAATGATACATATATCTCTTTAAAAAATAACATTAGAAAGCAAAAAAAAATGTTCGCCAAATCTTGAAGCTCTAGGCAGCCAAATTGTTAAATATAATTCAATATATATGTTAAATATGAAACTGTAGGAGTATATAAATATAAATGTAATATAATATATTTAATAAGAAAGATTGAAAGAGTAGGAATGTAGAAATAGAAATTATATATATATTTATATAGAATTATTGTGTAATACTAAATAAAAGATGAATAGAGTAAAATTAGTGATTAAGAATTTCAGAATTGAGAGTATAGAATTTGAGTAGAAGTAGAATAGTGTGAAAAAATGTATAAAACGAGTAGGTATATATAGGACGGAAATGGTAACCCCCCTCCCCCCCAAACCCCTCCCCAACGGCCAAAGAGCCATTACCAACCGTTCCAAACGGCTAGTATGACCCCAACCCCAACCCTAATTAAAATTCAAAAAACAAATTGTCCATTGGGACCGGAACCGAGACCGCCCAGTCCGGTCCCCAGAATACCTACCCGAGACCGAGCCCGGGGCCGGAAAAACGAATTCGGTTTGATCCCGCACAGTGGCGGGTCCGGCTCTGGTCCGTCCCTACATCCAATTAAGCATTATGAGCGGGCAACTATGCAACAGACTAATTCAACTAGGCATCTGGCATCAAACCAATCAGTACGAACATCTAAACAAAAATCATGACGCCCGACCACTAGGGCCCCTAGTCTAGGGGTGGACTGAATCGGGCCGAACTGGCCCGTGAACTCGACCGGCCTGCTACTGTACGGGCCCAGACTGAACCGGGACCGGATGGCCGGTTCCAGGCTTTAGCCGAGGTTGGGCGGGCCTGGCGGGCCGAGCCCAAGCCCTATTTTTCTTGAACCGGTCGGGCCCAAGCCCTATTCATTTTTTTTAATTTTTTTTTCTTTTCCTTGGGTAGGGCTAGGTGTTTTGGAGAGCTTTGAGGGGGGGGGGGGGGGGGGGGGGGGTTAATTAGAAAGCAAAAAAAATATACATTGGACCCGCCTGGAGTCCCGGACCAGCCAAGCCCAGTTTGGCGCAGGGTTGGACCGGTTCGGGCTTGGGCCCGGCCGGGCCTCGGTTCAAGAAGGGGAGGCCAGGAACCGGCCCGGATAACCCCCGAGTCCGAGCTGAGCCAGGCCGAGCCTCGGTTCTATTTTTTTTTGGGGGGGGGCTTTCCTAGTTAACCGCCAACCCTCCCCCTCACCCCCAAACCAACCCTAACCACCTCAAATGGCCCAAAATACCTAGCCCACCCCAAAAACTTAAAAAAAATTCAAAAAAAAAAAATTGGCTCGACCTGAGCCCGAACCAGCCGGGCCGGTTCACCTTTTGAAGGGCCCGAGCCCGAACCGACATCCAATCGGGCCGGGTGGCCCAAACCGGCCAACCAACCGGTTTACCAGGTCGGGTCGGGCCCGCTTAGTAGTGGGCCGGGCCGGTTCCGAGCCAATTGGCCCAGCCCGAGTCCACCCCTAGTTTGGCCTGGACCCGATATCAACCCAAGTCAATTCCGGGCCCAACATCTGGAAAAAAAGCCCGGCTTGAACCAGCCCAAAGCCCGGCCCAAGCCCGGTCCATGCCTCCCGACCACTACCTAGGACTAATGGAGTGACTTAGGGTTGGACTCGAGCCGGGTGGCCCGACCCGGAACCGGCCCGAGACCGGTACTGTTCCGGTCCAGCCCGAACCGGTGGCCCGGTCAGTGACCGGTCCGGGTAGGCCCGACCCGGTGGGTTTCCGGTCCGGGCTCGGGTCACCCATAACAAGGCCGGGCCCGGTTCGGGCCAAATTTATTTATTTTTTTTTTGGTTTTTTTCATTTGTTTGGGCTCCACCGGGTTGGGCTTGATGTTTAGGAGGGGTTCAAGGGGTTTGGGGGGTGAGGGGGTCAGGGATGGGTAGCTAAGCAAATTTGCAAAAAAAACGAAACCCGAGGCCCAGCCCGGCCCGGACCCGGACCCGGTGGCTACCCGGGCCGGTCCCGGGTCCAGCTATATAGAACCGCCGGCCCGACAGGCCTAGGCCTGGCCCCGACCCAGCCCGAGTCCAAGTGTCCAACCATAGAGTGACTAGAGCTATTTTCACAACAGTTTCTCCAACTATTTTTATTAGTTAAAAATTGGAAAATGGTCATGACTACAACGTATTACGTGTGCAGTGATGTAATTGATTCATGGCTAAGATATTATCCAACCTTGGCGATCAAAAGTCCAAAATTTCTGTTAATACACCCCAAAAAATGATTCAGTAATGATTGAAAAGGCATCTCTCCCTTAGGGTTAGGAGTGTAATAAATCGATTCATAAATAAACTACATGTAACAGAAACCATTTCAACTCAACTGCCATCATCCTACACAACACCCATCAAAGAGCATAAGGAAAATAAATAAATTACCCTTGTCTAAAAAAATCATAGCCCCTAACTATCAGGGAAAACCGGAAAAAAGGTTCAATCGAGACACTCGAATCATTTGAATTATTTTAATTCAAACTAGAATCGTCCCATTTTGAATCAGCTCTCAAGCAGTAGCAGATACCCGAGGTGCCATGGTTTTTGCATTTCCATTAGGCATACCACCACCCACGGCACGTTTCACCCGACCACCATTCTCAACCCTCTGATACGATGCATCACCACCACCACCACCACCACGGTTAAGTGATCCTCCTCGATTGCCACCCCTGTTGCCAAACTCAATCCTCCCATTGAAGTCTCGGTTGTATCCTCCCCTGCCACTACCATAATTTCCTCTCCCTCTAGACCCTCCTTCATTTCGGAATCCAGAACCTTCATTTCGGAACACAGGACCCTCATTTCTGAAACCACCCCTCCCTGGTAAGAATCTTCTGTTGTTTCCTGATGCAAAAAGGGCAGATCTTTATGTGTTTAGGTACTATAGTAGCAATGCAGACCACAGCCACCATATATGACACATTCAGATTAGAGTATTAGACTTGATGCATTTCAGACAAGAAAATCAGACCAAACCAGAAACAAACCACTCCTACGGGAAAAGTCTCGGACTAGAGTAGACCTGCCCAAAAACTGGCTCGGGCCTGGGTTTTTATAGATTTTCTGCCCATTATTGTGGGCGGGCCCGGCACGGCAAAAACGGGCCTAACCACAAGTCCATACCCTTCCATAAGAGCAAGCCAGGTTAGTCCACCAGGCCACCCGGCCCAGGAAAACTTTAAATATTTCAAAATTATAAAAAAACTTTTGAAATAATATACTTCCTCCGCCCCCCTAATATTGGGACGGAAGAGAGTGCTGTTGTTTTTAAGAAAAATAGAATTATGTGGTTAATAAAGTGAGAATAAAGTAAGAATGAATTAGAGTCACACAAATGTTACCAAATATGGTATGAGACAATAATAGGGGGACATCCAAAAATGGAAAAACGGGACAATTATAGGGGGACAGGAGTAACATTTATTCAAATTGTTAAGATGCTTATAATGTTTTATAGGACCGATAGGCAGCGGGAAGAGCATGGGGCGGGACCGGACTTGGGCCCACTTCCGTGGGCCGGTTACGGGCTGTCTTTATAGTTTATTTATTATTATTAAGTTAATGTTATGTTTTGGTTTGGGTCTTTTATTAGTAGAGTACTTAGTAGAGTTAGTATGGGCCTAATTAGGATTTAATTAATTTGGGCTTGATTAGGGTTTCTTGTAGAAGGCTATTTATACCCCTCGCCAGGGTTCATTCTTATTATCTTGGAATAAAATTGGTTTTAGCCTTTGGCTCTGGGCAACGGTATTTTTATCGTTGATTATCTGGGCAACGGTTTACCCCGTTGATTTTATTTCTTTTTCACAACAATCGGTATTTTTATCGTTGATTATCTGAGCAACGGTTTACCCCATTGATTTTATTTTTCTGCTACACAACAAGGACTCTCACCACATGCACAAAAAATACTTACAAAACAATAGTCATGACAAACTACAACTAAAACTAAAACTTAAAATTTAAGCACAAAGAATTATATTGGTTGGGCTAATTGTTTAGAACTAAAAACTTAAATTTAACCATAATAAATCATAAACATATGCAAAGATAAAATAGTAAACACTCCCTCAGTCCCGAATTGAATTGCAAAAGTTAACCAGCACAAGGATTAAGAAAGAATAGGAATTGATTTTTACTTTACCGTTTGCCCGTCTGAGAATAAATAAAAAACGAAAAAATAGTCTGCAGAGCAAGTACGACATATGTCAAGCAATATCATCTCCATAGTGTCTTCTTTCATTTTCACCTTCTTCCTCCGTGATTGGTTAATTACGGAGAGTCCAACACAAATCCAGCCATACAAGCCTTCAACATGACCTGCCCTGAATAATGGCCAGAGCCGGTGGCTTTCTGGCAGCAGCCTCTCCACCATCCTCGACAGCTACTCTAGGCTTCCAAGAGGGGAGGGACAGATCTGATGTACTAGGAGACGGAGACTCATCTGAGATGGACAGGGTCAAACCGTCAAAGAGACATGTTGGACCTGTGGATTTTACGGATCTGATGTACCAAGAGGGGCCCGCTTCTTTTGGTCTTCTTCTTTTCCAAAAGGGAAATGAATTTCACTGGGGTCATGAAGAATACGTGAGACTCCATTTTACAGAGATGGAGGCTGCTGCATCCAAATTTAATTGAGGGGAGAGAGATAGGAAGTGAACAAGATGGCCGGTGAAAGAGATTTGAGATGGGGGTAGGAGAACGGGAATTAAATCAATCGTACATTGGGTGGGTGGGGTGGAAAAGAGAGAAGGATAAGGAGTAAGGGAATTACATCGTCACTTTGTTGATGTTTGTATACTTAAAAAGGAAGGTGGAAAATCATTTTGGGACAACCAAAATAGAAAACTTTGCAAAGCAAATTGGGACGGAGGGAGTATAAATATACACATTTACATATAAATATATAAACATATATATTCACTAAATGTTGGGGGCCGGGCTTATCAGCCTGAACGATCCTACACTCTAACCTAATCCGCCCATATGCTATTGTGGGCCAGACCAGGGCCGCAATTGTGCGGGAGGGCTGGTTTTTGTGCAGGTCTAGACTAGAGCAAAAAATAATTCTCATCGAATGACATCTTTCAAACAGACTGTGTCCTTTATCCTTGAAGTGCAAAAAACTTTCTTGCAATTAATTAATATAATTAATTGCAAAAAAATTATGTATGAAGGCTAAATTGAGTCTAAATTGCACAGTTGAGGAACAGAAAGTTCAAAAAAGAGGTCCAGACCGAGTGAAAGTGCATAGGCAAGGGGCCAATCCAGGTATTAACTCTTAAGATTAAACTGCAGATAACAAAATAGTGCCTAGGATATTATGATCAAGTCTCATCATCATCATTACCCCAGTGCCTCAAAAGCTCCCACTTATGGTGAGGTAAGGGGGTCGGATGTACGCAGTCTTACCTCTGTACTAAGGTACAGAGAATGTTTCCGGATGACCCGTTTAGTGACCCGCTTTATTAAATGAATACACAGAAATCCTAAACCTACCAGCAGAAGGAAGGCAAGGCACCCGATCATTCCAACAAGGCTTAACGTAGCACAAAACTAAGATCAAGATAATAATAGACTAAATCCTACAAAGTCCTCCAGAATCCTAAAATAATTGAGCTAACTTACCTCGCGAGTTAGTGGATCTCTTCTCCTCAATGACAGCTTGGCGTCCACCAATTAGCATTGGAGAAGCCTAATGCACATAATTAAATAAAATGAATAAAATTCCAGCCAACTCACATATAAGAGAGCCAAATCAAGGGATTAGTATGTCAAGGAAGCATCAATTCTACTATAACTAGGCATACACGTGTAACAAAAAAACATCTTAGTATCTCCACAAACTAAGAGTTCCAATCTAATCATGCAACAACATCCAACAACATCCAAGCCTTAGTCTCAAAAAGAGTTCAGGGTCAGCTAACATGAACCGGCATATGAAATCAGAGCTAAAAAGGTAAGAAAGAGGAGAGTCTCAAATTGCCATATGCAAGAACTCAAGACAAATCTAATATGTGAAAGCACAAATGTGCAGTCTAGAGGCAAATATATAATTACAGAATATCTGTTTCTAAGAAGTATACTGACAGGAACTCTGTAAGTGTCCATACAATCTGATTCAAAAGATATATAAAAACATTAAAGTTTATAAATAAAACTGCTCATATGAAAAGTGAATACCTGAATTGCTTTTTGCACAGCACTTGCTTCTTCAAACTCCACAAAGCCAAAACAAAATCCATGTGGCTGTCAGGACCAAGAGAAAAAATTAGTATGTAAAAAAAACACAGTTAGCACGCAGGCAGATAAAGACACACGTACTCTATTATTTCTGACTTGAATTCCTCCTTGTTTGATATGTCCAAACTTCTTGAATTCATCAGCAAGAGAAGCTGCAGTGGTACTGTAAGGAAGCCCTTTTATGTAGATTGAATAGCCCTCAGCTGCTGAAAAATGATAACCCCCACCATATGTTAGAAAAATTGTAAAACGAAAGGATAACTTTAGTGGTGAAACATCTTGAACACATGTTTGAAAATAACAATAGCATGCCTTCTGCCTCTTGATTATTCACGGCTTCAAAAGATACTGAACCATCTGTATCATTAGATACTGGGGCTGGAGATGGATTAACTTTCTCTACATTTGTTATTACAGTTTTTCTGGAAGCAGATGCTGGAGGCGGTGAGAAAGTAGCAGCATTTTCTTTGAGCTCTATGACCTGTAAAATCATTCCATGTTCATGAATTGACACAGAAGTGATCCAAGTATGAAGCATAAGCAAGCGCAATCAGCCAGATATCTATTTTGAAAAAGGAAAGTGATGAGAGAAAGCCCATTGAAACTGCTCACAAGCACTTACAATTTTAGCATATGACTTCTTGGGTACTTCTTCGATTTTGATGTCGGATTCAACAACCACTTGTGAATCATCTGGTACTTCGTTAATAACCTCAGCCACAGGAACTTCCTCTTTAACTGTAGGCACATCTCTATTCTGATCTGGGATGTCCACTTCTCCATTTGGTTCCTCTGCTGATGGTGTGTCATGCACCAAAACGTGATTCTCTTCCACAGGAAGAGAACCTGCAACCCACATGGTAAAAAACTTAAATAGATAATTAGAAATATGGTATATAAAAAATAAAAATATAATAATTGTGTCAATTACTTGGCTCTGCAGTAGATGGAACAATTATATCAACCACTGGAATATGGGTCTTATCGTGTTGATGGACTGTTTCCACATATCGAAGCATGTCATTCAAAACAAAGTACCCTCCATGGTCTTGGGGTGCCAGAAAAAAAGACTGTGAGAAGCTTCGGGTCTGATTGTCCTTCCCAGTCAGGTATCCAGTTACAAGAACAGACACTCCTCCATTGTATGATTCTTGGGCGTCAATAGACTTTATTTCAGCTCTTAAGTCGTCATAATGAAGAGAGAGTATCTTTTCGTTGATTGCCTACAGATTTTAAATTGACCCACAAAGGTGTCTTAGTCTTTCAGATTGAGAAAGGAAAAGAATCGTATTTGAACACCAAATTCCAACTGCTTGTTTGGTAATCATGTTATCTTATTTGATTAACCAGTTAATCACCCATGTGATACCAGGATATAATATTTTACTCAAATTATAAACACCAGCGGGTGTGGAAAAAGTCCATTGTAATGAACGAAATATAATGGGGTAAATTTTCTAGTAGTTCCCTTGTGTGAGTGTGTGATGCATAGGCAACTGTTTTATGAAACAAATAGTTTATTAATACGTTCGTGTTTTTTATGAAACAACTTTTTTTATGGAAAATAAGTTCGTGTTTTCACAAACTTAGAACTTTTGTTTTTAAAATACAGAGTAGATTTCCATATATGTTTAAATTTAAAGATTGTAAAACTAGTAGATATAGGGTTCTTTTTTATTTTATAGATATAGGGTTAGAAATTTATGTTAAAAATGAAGTTACTTTTAAATATGAAAAGTAATTGTTTATGAGACATACAGCTTTACAAAATATTTTTTAAGAAATTACTTTTGTTTAGAAGCATTACTGATGTTTACAATTTAACACGGTTTAAAAAATATGAACACAATATTAATACGTTGTTTTTGAGTGTTATGTTGAAGGAGTCGTACCTCATTACCTCCTCACTGCAAAAAAACTAATTTTAGAATGGAATAATATTTTGTAAAAAAAAATAGTTAGCTTATCTTAATCCCAAGACCAGTTCTTTGTACAGACTTGAAAAGGCACAAGTCATTCATTTCATTTGGTTACTCATTTTTCCAACCACATTCATGATTATAGTCACTAAATGTTACGGAGTCATTTTTTGTCCAATATGCTTCTTCTAGTACTCCCTCCGTTCCTATTATAACTTCCAAATAGGTTTGGCAGACAGTTTAAGATAGTGGGTATTGTGTGGTAGAGAGTTGTGCAGAGGAGAGATAAAAAATGTTGTGAACCACAAATTCTTTACCAAAAAGGGAAAGTGGCAGTTTTAATTGGAACGGACGAAAAAGGAAAGTTGGAAGTTATAATAGGAACGGAGGGAGTAATATATTAGGATTTACTTCCAAATAATATTGGTATATTATATAAATTTTATATTAAAGGTAATTGTTTTGGGTTGTGACCGGTCAAGGCCGGGTCATAGATTTTAGGGACTGCTAAAGAACCCGATTTTTCCGGATTAGTCTGGGTATTTTTATTCGGGTCATCCAAAAATCAGAAAACCCAGACCGGTCACATTCTTCGGTCCGAGCTAGGGAAGGTCTCCAGGGTTCGGTTCGGTTTTTCCCGCCCGTACAAATTTGTGTGAATGGCATGAGTAAATCTATGGAGATGGATCTAATTACAATTTTTATTCAACACAACAATTTTCCGAAGTAATATAGATCGATGCTATAAAAGGAGCAACATAGACCTAAATTTCAAAAAACCATTCTTTAGAGCAGGGGCATACATATGAAGAATTCATACTTTTAGAATGAGCTTACTAAAGAAGTAACATTGCACGCACTATTTCAAAGGGGACCCCTACCCTAGTACCCTTTCTAATCAATCCTTATAATATATTAGTCACCTGTTGATTTTTCTTACACAATTACGCAATACCAAAAAAAGATAGCCCAAATTTATAATTATTATTATATTATTATTCACCGATATAAATTTTTATTATTATTCACCGATATAAATTCATGATTATTATACATCTTCTTTGCTGGTTTAAAAAAATACTCCTTTTGTCCCATTATGATTGTCCCATATTCTTTTTTGGTTTGTCCCACTATGATTGTCTCATATCAAGTTTGGTCATATTTTTGTGGTTGTGAGTTGTTCATACAATCATACTTTATTTTTATTTTATCAATTCAATATTAACCACTCAATTTCACTCTTCTTAATAATAGGCTAATAGCATCACCTCCTCGTGTACCAAGCATAGGGTAATGGAGGTAGTATTTAAAACAAGGATAGCCCAGTCACCGTTACATTTGAAATTTTGTACACCTTAGAAATTTATTACACAACACAGAATTACATTTTATTATAAAAACCAAAATATTTTAATTAGTTTTTCAACTTTTTCAAAAAAATCATAAAACTTTTATTCATAATTTACCCCATGATGATTTTATTGAAATTGTGCAATGTCCTCTTTTACTAATTTGCGAAGTAAACTTAAGAAGTGTTTGTGATTGCTTCTACTTTAAAAAGGTATTTTTTCTAAATGATTTTGGAAAAAGTTCTTAATAGTAAAAGTTTATCGTGTTTTAAAATAGAAGTGAGTATGGTGTAAATGCTAAAGTTGAAGTGTTTGGTAAAAAAAGTGATTTTTGATAGTAATATTTTATTAAAGTACAAAAAATCCCTTCCTTAAATTAAATATATACGAGTCTATCCGTAAAGCTATTTCCCTGGAGGTGGCCATTAAGAAGACAAAAAGTGGGGCAATAGCATTCATCACCAAAGCTCAAAATATTTTACACACACACATATATATAATATCGGTGATGTGTAAGGAAAGAGGAGAGAGATGAGGGTACTGTGGACTTTAGCTTAATATATTTGTTATTGTAATTATCTCCAAAGTTCGAATTATTTACAAAAAACGAGAAGCAGTTAGAAGCACCCTTATACCAGCTTTTAGCTTTTGGCTTTAAAGTGCTTAGTTTAAGCAGAAGATGACATTTGAAAAGACCAATTTTAACTTTTTAAGCCAAAAGCTGAAAAGCACTTATTTTAAGTTGTTGCAAACACTCTGTAGTTAACTTTGTTGTTTTGGAAAAAAAAATATGAGAAGGATCACAGAGTAGAATTAGCACCGTTTTTAATATGTATTTAGTATTAAGAAACTTGGCATTTGAACACATCTCAAGAACTTAATTTCCAACCATCACATTTTTCATACCCATCATTTCTCTCTTGAATAGAAATTCAAGACTTTGGTAGGCATAAGTCCATACCTTCTAGCTTTTATACTATTTAAAAAGTCTTTAAAAGCTTCTTGTTGTATGGTTAGCATGCCAAATTTTAAGAGCTTTTTTAAAATAAAATATACTAAACAGAACTAAATCAAACAATTAGTTTTTTATCAAACAACTACTGACTTTTTCTTTTGAAATCTTTTCAGTTACTAAAAAGGTCATAAAAGTATCTTTTCATCGAGTTGTGAGAAACATACCCTAAGGAATGCCTAGTCAGCTCCCAACATATGCTCGAGCAGCTAATGTTAAAGGCAATTTATTGAGAAACAGAAAATGGTTGCTTTCTCCAAAGCATTATTACTCCATATTAAATACTCCCTAGTCCCTATTTTTGTCAAGAGCATCTTACAGAAACTCCTCGACTGAAATGCTCTAGAGCAGTGATTCCATAATTGAGGCTGCATTTTTACTCAAGAAGTCTTTTTGGCAAGATCATCCTCAAGAAGAATTCTTTTGCTATTATATTATAATAATAATAATAATAATACTCATGTTCAATTGTGCTATGATGGTTATCTGCAATCTAGAAACTAAATCCTTCGTTTCTGGACCGTTGAGAAATTTTGCAGCAACTTACTCATGAAGGGAAGTGATTTAAGCATTTCCTTTTTGCATTCACTGTGATTGGCTAAAACTCAAAAGGGTAGAGAAAAAAAAGTTGGTGGATTGTTTCTATTTACTTACATAATTAAGCAAAGTTCTATAACCACAAGGATACGGGGGAGTATAAAAGAACTCCAATCCAAATAAAGAGAAACTATATTGGGTGCTGGATATACTGAGAGAGGGTATTACTTTCATGGTGGTGGTGCAGCTCATAGATCCATCTTCCTCGGGGCGGCCTAGTTTGCTGCTATCCTGGTAAAACCTGTAGACGATTTCGGGAGAGAGATGCAGTATGTTATAATACTGATCAACAAACGAGTTACCCACCTGTTATCAGCCACAGCAGCAACAACAACAACAAAAGAACCAGTGTCAGTAAAAGAGCTAAAAACAACCTCCCGGCAAAAAGAAGAAAAAATTGCATACAATTTGGGGAGAAACCGTTGGTTGCGGTACCGCCGCAGCTGCTACTGTCTCCATAGCTCCTAAATCCGAACTACCAACGAGCAAAACTGGTGCAAGATATAAGCGGCGAGTCGAAACCCTAGAGTTGAAATAATGCGGTAAGAAGCTACTCAACGCTGTAACACTAGCGAAAACAGATACGGCATATGCATGTGTTTGATTACGGAGTTTGATATGGAAAATTGGGCGATCCGTTCGTACCTTAATTCGGCTCGAAGCAGGAAGGATCTGTCTCCTCGATTTCGACCCCTATAAATCCCACTTGATCTATACGGAGCTCGAGGAATGTGATGAGATGAAGTGGGGTGGGGTTGTTTGTCTAGGGTTTTAGCAAGCAGGGGTAGAGAGATCGCGCCGAGTGGACAGAGATAGTGAGTGACTTGATTATGATTTGCTACTCCCTCTTAATCATAATTAACTAACGTAAGGTTCAAACTTACGGGTTTCAGTTACATAATTAGCCTAGTTTGGAATGGATGCATCTTTTTCTTTATGTCAATTGCGAAATAAGGAGTAAAGATGTTTTTACTTGGACTGTAATTTGATGGTTTGATCTGATTTGAACTGATCTGGTCTGGAAAGGGATCAGATGGGCCGCACAACTGTTAGGATTGAATTGGGCTTTGGCTCATATTAAATAGAGTTTTTATAGAGAGCCATCATTTTACTATGAACAAAACAAGATTAAGGTTGTGTTCGGCATAGCCATTTCAGCTCAAATGGGCTGAAGTCTCTAAAATTCAGCCTATTATTTGACATATCGGTGTTTGGATGAAGAGCTGAAATGAGCTTCAGTTGATTTTAATGAACTGAATCAAAACGTTTGGAAAGGTAACGTTTCCGTTTAGCTGATGGAGCTGATAGAAAAGGTTCCGAAATTGCCCCTAGAAGATTCTAAAATAACGCAAAAATAGAGTTGATGTGGCCTTCATCCGTAAGTCACGACCGGCCGGTATTCCAGAAGCGGTGGTTCCTGATCGATGTTGGGCGACTCAGCAGAACATCGGCACAGTTCACTATTGCCTTTTAGGAATGTGCCACCGAGACTCTTCCCGGCCTATATGGTGATGATCCGGATCGGCAGATTTGAGGATACCCGTCACATGTTCAGTGATGCAAAGCTTACTACCTTTGGATAGCACAATTGTGTCGGCGGTGTTGGAGATTTCTGGCTGAAAGATAGTCAACCAACTCTCTATTAGATACATAGATTGAATTTCTCCTCTATGATAGATGGCTTAAATGAGAATGCAAATATTTCTTTGTGTTTTGCATTTCGGAATTCTTACAAGTTAAAGTGTTGGTTTGTGTTAAAAATATGATAATATGCATACTACTATGTACGAAGTATAATCTTAATGTTTATTAAAATATAAAAATCACTACAATAATAATAATAATATATTTTATGTTCTTTAAAGTAATTTTATGTTTTCCAGACACGTTTTCAGCTCTTTTTGTCAAACGAGTATCTTTATTCAGAGAGTAGTCCAGATTCAGCAGTTCATTATTTAGCTCCAGACAATAGTTTCTAGTTCAGACAATAGCTCTTAATTCAGACATTAGCCTCCAGTTTCAGCTCGTTCTGCCAAACATAGCCTAAACATCTAATTTTCCCTTTTAGTAATATAATAACTTGTGTAGATTCTTGAAATAACAATATACTCCGTAAGTGCATATACACAAACACGCAACCTTCAGAATTTATTTTCGTTATGTAGACATTCCGCTATAGTGAGGGAACTTTCAAAAGGAAACACAAATTGATCATGTCCATGAATTCCTAGTGAAAAAGATAGCTCCATTCTGTAAGTAAAAGAATATTTCACAAAATGGGAGATTTACATTCTCCAACTGCGTGAATGATTTAGCCTTCAAGCATCATAGTGTGAGGGAAGCTAGGGAGCCTTGAGATGTTTTTTTTTTGCCATTTCAATCACTGTTTCAAAGTAAATACAACAACTATAGTAGAATTTCGATGTGGGAATCATGGTTTCAATGGGCACATCTTGAGATGTTTTTACCACTTCAAGAAATTTACAACTCTTGGCATGTCGGTTGATGAGTTGCTTTCCAAGCCGGACAAGCAATAAGGAACACGGAGACGTTGAGCTACTGTTTTGGGCGCAATGGATGGTCACCTTAGGGACCGAGATATAGTATTCAAAGATTAAAGTCTCTGAGGCGACGTAGCCTTATTCAATCGTCGACCCATTGTCGTGCCTTATGTTGTCGGAGCAGATGTCATCGGTGTCATTTGGGTCGCACGCCTGGCGTCGCACTTCCGTGCATCAACCATACTTGCGAAAAGAAGCGGATTTCTTGTGTTGAAGACGGGAGTGTCTTGAGGAAAATAGCTTCTTCATATGTTGCAGTAAGGGTAAATAGTTATTATGAAATAATTTTATTTAAAATATAAATAAGGGATTGTACTTGGTAAATATGTGCATGTGTATAAAATTTCCCTATAAAATATTGGAAGTAAGTATAGATCAATCACATGAGACAAAATAATCATATGCGCTTGAATCTTATAGAGAGTTTGTTGTTGATAGTGTAAAAATTTAGAAGATGTTGAATAAATTATGTATTGTGTCTATTGTTTAGGTAGATTACGTATTACTGATAATTCTATGTATTATGGTACTGTTGAGTTTAATCCAACACAAAATTGTAAATATAGATATAAATATATACATATAATGAGTCTAAATAAAGGTATGAACAAACTATTTAACGTGGAAACCCGAAAGGGTGAAAACTACGTGACTTTTTCCTAAATGTTATTCTTTCCCACAAAGTTTTTGTTATTTGACAAAGTTCTGAAGATGCAATTGGATATACAACATTCTATTTGCAACTCAGCACAAGGGGGTGTTGAAGAAGATGTTTTTTTGTTGTGTGATATCGTTTAGATGTATTATATATTACAGATCATCTTATGTAAATGATGTATTGTAGGTCTATTGGCCCGCCTGTGTAAACCCTAATACCTCTGTGCAGAAGATATTTTTTGTTGTATCACCTTAAATATAACCTAACTTCATTTACTCTATTCTTTCATTGGCTTCATAACTGCACATAGGTTCTTTACTCCCTTGAGCAATGCAATTAATGATTAGTCACTCAGGTATGCAATAAGATAGCCATTAATCATATTTTTGGGGGAAATATATATTTACCTAAGAGGAAGTTAAAATTAACTCATTGTAATCCCGACAGTGACTACATTACAATCTGAAAATGAAAATCAAAGATATATGCATTTTACATCAACAAAACCTATCATAACATTATACAAGGTTTTCAGCAAGAAGTTTCATTATCTTCATTGCATTATCTTTCTGTTTGCATTTTTGTCTCTACGTAGTGGAAGAACTTTCTCAATAAAATTGTTTCCTCTAAAGTATCAAAGATTGATTTTAATACAATTCATGACACTGTGTTGATGCATAGCTAAATCTAGCTCACAAGTTTACATAGAATATTACATTTTGTCAAGTACATTTAGATCAAAATAATAATGCATCTATTTCACTAAGTATGGAACTTCACCTCTCGATGCATATATATCATATTTATTTGCATGAAGTGTTTTATAGGCTTCAATTTTGACCAACTAAAAGGAATTAAAGTTAGTAAAGAGAAATTGTCGATGTTAAATTATTTGAACATCTTTTGCATACACAAGTGCGCACCCTAGCAGATTAGTATTCTACACGTGTGAAGTTTTAATACAAAAGCTATATAAAGTTGAGGGATTGCAATGTCATTTCAAATATAGTGTTTCTTACTCCTGCAAGAGTACATGATATGTTCATATCAATGGCATAGGAGTCCTACAATGTGGAAAACCATTATCTCCCACCTCCTCATCCTGACCAGTTTGATCATGTGTTCTAATAGAATAAATTGTCATTGTATTCGTTAATGTGGGTGTCGTGTATTGAGTGTTCAATGTGAAGGAGGCGGTTCAGCGGGCGACATGCACTTTGCAGCCGCATGAGGATGTACAACATCCTTGGATGGAGAGGCGTCTTTCATCCACTGTTTTCTGCCATGATGAATGTGCTGATGTGCAAACCATAATTGTTTCACTTCGCGGTGAAGAGGAAGATGTCCCCTCCTCCTCATGCCAGTAACAATTCCCCAATGGTTGAGGTTTGCCAGATCTTAACGAGCCTCACCAATGCAGTGCAGAAAACCCTCATCTTCCACCTCCTCATCCTGATCACCTTGATCATGAGTTCTAATCGAAGAATGTCATTGCATTCTTCGGCATACTAATAGGATATGATGTGAGATCGAGGAATTCACTTAGAGTTTGAATATCAGGTGCAACATCAGGTCCAGTTACCTCTAGACAAAGTAATCCACTGATTAATGTTTTATAATGGTTAGGATCTAATAAAAGTGTTCCATCATTTTTTAAAGTTTATGTTTTGGATCCACTCATCATATAAGGCATATAATTATAATAACTTTAGTAAATAAGGGAAAATCATATTGAGATTGTTTGTAACCAAATAGTTTAAGCCATTCAAATATATAGCTTACGATGCCACTACTTTGAAGCCTATTTTAGGCCATATACAATTTTCATAAGTTTAAAAACTTTATTGTCACTAGGAGCTATTATAACCTAGAAGATGATGCGCGCGCACTTATATCTTCATGCAAATCACTACGTAATAAGAAATTATTTATACCTGCTTGACGTAAATTAAATATCAATTTCTTGTTGTAGTTTTGACTAAAAGTCCACCAACAATGATTAATATAACTTCAGGGGGGAGGTTTCATAGCGATATAACGGGGTTTTGACCTAGATAATACTAAAAAATAGATAAATGACAAAAGGTGATTTTTTTGTTTAATTTCCAAAAATGTTACTAATCAGTTTTAAATTTACTAAATTACCCTTAATTTGCAGTGACTGTATTTTATAGTTACAATACCGGCCATAGTGACACCCGTCACAGTGACCACCGGCCACCGCCGCTGCAACAATGACCACCGACCACCACCGCCGTTGCCGCCATCACAGTGACATCTCCACAATGACACATTCATAGTGACACTCCCATAATGACTCCAATCACAGTTACTTCTACCACATATATCCAGTTTTACCATCGGAAACCATCACCGTCCACCACTGCCGGCCCCAACCACCACTGGAAACCGCCGCCGTCCACCACCGCCAGTCCCACTCCAACCCCAACCCCTCTCCCGCTTACCCCAACCCCAGCCCTACTTCCACGGCCGGATCCTGCTACCCCGACCATCGCCTCCGTCCTCCACCGCCCCTGCCCAACCCTCTCCAACAACTCCCTTGCCCCATCGTTAACACGGTCACTGCCCAACCCCCTCATTGCATCCCTACCCAGCACATCCAGCCCCTTGAACCACCGCAGACCCACCCCACACCCCGTCACAGCCCTCACACACCTCTGTGCCACT